CTCCCCCCTCCGACATCGGAAATACTCTATACAGAGACAAAGCACAGCTGACTAAAACCTGTCCATTCTTTGCCATATCGACAGGCCGAAGGGCTAGAACTCAAAAGGCCGCTGGATCGGAAAAGTAAAGTAGTGTAAAATACTCCAACATTTGTTTTCTTGAGGCCAGTGAAATAGGAAACTCCTTTCCCTATAATATATCATAGACTATCATCACATGGAGGATGCGGGTATTTAGTTTTAGTAAGATTTTTACGGCACTTGCAGTACAATAAGGTCATATAAGTGTCGAAGACTAGAGGCATTACAAAAGAGAAACACACATGAAAAAGAATGAGGAGAGATCAGGACGATAGGTGTTTGATAGGAAAGAAGGAGCACACCACACCAGAGCACCTGCCAACCACCCACTGTACACCATCACGTGTAGGAGGCGGATACAAATAAGACACAGCAGAACTCAAGAGCCAACATTTTTGCAAACATATTTTCCAAACATAAAATACGCCAACTTTTGTTTTTAGTAAAGGCACACACCATCACCGTCCTTTGATCGTGGCTTTTCCATAAATAAACACACTTCTAGAAGTAAAAACCCCCAAAACAAATCAATTTTTATAACAAACTCGTTTTTCGTCCACAGTTTTAAGTGTTCTAGTTCGACAGGGCAACACAACAAGGAGCAGACACTTCCAATTGTGTTATATTATAACATATATATATATACTTCAAGGATAAGACACAGAGTAACCTCGTAGCCCTGATTTTTAAATAAAAAGTAGCACCATATACACATAATGATACACATATACGGTACCGTATGTATCACATTAGAGTATCCCTGAAAAAATCAAGATAAGCTTTGCTGATTCCGTTCAGAGAAGGAAAAACTGGCTTGGTCATGATTGATGCAATCATCTGACAATGACAATGACAAAGACAAAATGACAACAACAATGACAATATAAACATGAAGACAATAACAAAGACAATGACAAAGACAAAGACAAAGACAAAGACAAATACAAAGACAAAGACAATGACAAAACAATGACAGTGACAATAACAAAGACATATAACAATGACAGTGACAATAATGACAAAGACTAAGACTAAGACAGTGACAATGACAGTGACAATAACAAAGACAATGACAAAGACAGTGACAATAACAATGACAGTGACAATGACAATAACAATGACAATGACAGTGACAATAACAATGACAATGACAGTGACAATAACAAAGACAATGAGAAAGACAGTGACAATGACCATAACAAAGACAATGACAATGACAGTGACAATGAGAAAGACCGTGACAATGACCATAACAAAGACAATGACAATGACAGTGACAATAACAAAGACAGTGACAATAACAAAGACAGTGACAATGACAGTGACAATGACAAAGACAGTGACAATAACAAAGACAACGACAATAACAAAGACAATATGACAATCATGCGGTGAAGGAAACAGTTAATTACTAGCACGAAAAAAAACAAATCCCAAAAACGCCCCCGAAAAATTAAGACAGCTAGACCAGGCTAAATGGACACCACTCGATGTTAAAACATGCTCCCCACCAGGGATATCAAACTCACGATGTCCTTCCCTGCACGCAATCTTGACAGTTTCTTTTAAGTTTTAACAAGTGTTTTAAGGCACTTGCAACACAATTAAGTTAGGTCATATAAGTGCCGAAGATTAGAGGTGTTATTTATAAGAGAATAACAAACATAAAAAAAGAAGGAGGGGAGATGAAGACAAAAGATGTTTGATAGGAAAGAAGGAGCACACCACACCAGAGCACCCGCCAACCACCCACACGGGAAATAAAACTACAAACTATATTATAACTGACAACTGAACCAGCCTCACCTAAACTGTCGCTGCTCAGCGTAGGCCACAAGGTCATCTGAGAGGCCGGCTGCACGTTTCCCATGACGCCGCTGGCATCGGACTCAATCCCCGTGTCCTCCCCAGCAGACAGCAGCGCGGGAGACGTCACGGCCTCAAGGTCATGGGCCTGCGACTGCTGATGCGGCTGCTGTAGAGCGGAGGACTCCAGCATGACTCGCGTGCGGCAGCGGAGGAAGTCGTGGAAGGAGAGTCGCGACTCATCGGTGAGACCCAGCTGTTGTCGCACCTCTCCCACGGAGTCGGCCATGTTCAGCATTCGGCACATGAATGTCAGGTCCTCTCTGAACCAAGAAGGAACAAAGAAAAATGGAAATAATAATTAGAATTTATATTATAAAACACTAAAACATGGATAGGTCGAACACAGAAGACTAGAAATCACGCATCCGTCGAACTTTACTGTGCCTGCGGTCCCCTTTTTTCTCTCTTCTTCTTTATCTTTGGAAGATATCCCTGGAACTACAAATCCCTCAAACTACCGAGGCCAGTCCTGACGAATTCGAGCTATCCGTGTTATATGTAGTTTGTCCGTCATTGTCTGACAATAATCAATGCATCCGCAGAGATTATTTTTCCGTTGAAATAGAAGAATTAAAGGTTTAGATGACTTGCGGCTTCCGCTATTGCCAATGACATCAATTCTGGCAGAGAAAAGTTTGTCGCATTTTGAGCCTTTAGAAAAGCTTCATTTTTATTGTGGATGCGCGAAGCTCGCAGGCTTTTTTTGGTCTTGTTTTCAGCATTTTAGTGTAGCCCGTGTTGTCTGTGCGCATCATGATGATTAACACTTTGCCATCATATTATTTGGGGGAAAATCCAAAGAAACTGGGTGGTAAACATAGGCAACTGCGAGATGAGCCGGCAAAGTGCTAAAGAGCAGAGCTTCCTGTCTCTGAGAAACATCATTAACTGCTACTTTAATAATTGCAGTGCTCTCTTATGTTCTACCACTTTTACAGGAAATTTTTCCACAAATATTAGCGCATAATGAGAGTAGAGTAGCCAATATAAATAAACTTAGTTCAATTAAACAAGCGGAGGGAGAGTCATGATAAAAGAAGTCTGTACGGTCTATGGCTACACTTGGATGGCCACTACAAAAGTGTCATGATAAAAGAAGTCTGTATGGTCTATGGCTACACTTGGATGGCCACTACAAAAGTGTCATGATAAAAGAAGTCTGTATGGTCTATGGCTACACTTGGATGGCCACTACAAAAGTGTCATGATAAAAGAAGTCTGTATGGTCTATGGCTACACTTGGATGGCCACTACAAAAGTGTCATGATAAAAGAAGTCTGTATGGTCTATGGCTACACTTGGATGGCCACTACAAAAGTGTCATGATAAAAGAAGTCTGTATGGTCTATGGCTACACTTGGATGGCCTCTACAAAAGTGAACTTGTCATGTTTATAATTATAAAATTAAAATATCAAATTATTATTATTATACTATGCCTATAGATATTAGCAGTATATGAGGTCCTATTATTTATAAGAAAAAATTAATACTATATAAAACTTGCACACACCACAAAAATCTGACAAGAAATTAATAACTGTCTTCAAAATTGAAATAAGGGAGAAAAGGCTAGAAGAGAAGACAGCCTCTTCATGAAAACCTGTCAGAACTTTCAATCTCCCCACTCCCCCCTTATGATACATTCACACGCCCTAGATCCACACGTCCAAAATAGATATGTCTAAACATGATGGAATTTTTTTTCCCCGGCTCCCTTACAAAATAATTGCGTGTTATACAGGTTTGACTCAGCTAGATCTAGATCTATATGAGCTTTTGCCAAAAGGTGGGGGTGTTTGCTTAAGGACTTTTTTAATCAACCACTACTCATGGTAAAATATGTTTTCTTCTGAAAACTTTATGCATATGGCAAGGAAATAAGTTGGTCAAGCTGCATGAGCAAGTAGATTGATGTGTGCATCTTATATCTCTACATATAGAAAGATAATAGTACTAAAAATAGGGCATTTTTTACTCATCCTGAGTGCACACGTAATTGTATGTTAAATACAGAATATTGTTAATCTTAAACTATCAAACAGAAGTGCATTCAAACATTGAAAATAGTTTGTATACACCATCATAACAACGTGTGTCCATTAAAAGGGTTTTATTTTTTTATATTAATGATGTTATTGCTGAGTAAAATTTATAAGTTCGTTCACAACTCGTGTCATAATTACATCATCAGACTTTCCAAGGTCTAGAAAACCCAAATCGTTAAACATATCATCCCGGGGAATGACCGGTATTAAACATTGGTTTGACATTGATCCATCAGAAGGGTAATTTTCCGCATGGTTTTGCTTAAATATATATTACTTTGATTGAGATAATCCAGGTTTGTCATAATGATGTTATGAACAAACACTTTATGATATTTCTGCAAAATATCATGTGAGGGACTTACCACTGTTTCACAACATCCTTTTACATGGTGGAATGAACATGGAAGAGTATCGTGGTGTCATAATGGTTATAAATGAACGAAACCTTATTCCATGTAATTTACAGTTGTTTTGGGATGTATTTTTAATTTTAACCCAACTTGAGGATGTATTAGACCTTGCTTACATTCTGATATTTTGATTTTTATCATAAGTGTATGGGTCTGGATTTTAATTAGTATTTTACTTTTGTAGTAATGGTTATGAACGAACTACATATTGTACTCTGAAGGCTTTCCAGAGTTGATAAACATTAAAAACATGTACACAGATACATATTATGAGGAAACTTTCATTTAATATAAAATTTTAAAGTAAATGACAGGTCAAAATATTAATTTTTAGGTCAAAACTGAAGTTTGTCATAATAGTTATGAACGAACAATTAAAGGTATTCTAAGGGTTTTTCAGTGATTAAACTTTGAATTCTTCCAACATATAACCTTATTTTGAGGAGAGTCTCATAAATTAAAACAATTTTATGTGAACGACAGAACAATAAGTTAATTTTTTGGGCCCATAGTAAAATTTGTCATAATAGTTATGAACGAAACAGTGTGTCATAACGGTTATGAACGAAACCTTATTCCATGTAATTTACAGTTGTTTTGGGATGTATTTGTAATTTTAACCCAACTAAAGGACAGAATAGACCTTGCATACATTCTGATATTTTGATTTTTATCATAAGTGTATGGGTGTGGATTTTAATTAGTATTATATTTTTGTAGTAATGGTTATGAACGAACTATTTATAGTCCATTTTATATATTTTGAGGGCTTTTCAGTGTTAACAAACTTTAAAAACATGTACAGAGATACATATTATGAGGAGAGTTTCATTTAATAAAAGTTTTTAAAAATGAATGACAGATCAAAATGAGTAAATTTTTAGGTCAAAATTGAAGTTTGTCATAATTGTTATGAGAACGAACCATTTTAAAGGTATTTTAAGGGTTTTTCAGGAAATAAACTTTGAATTCTCCCTACATAGAGGAATCTATCATATTTTAAGGAAAGCCTCATAAATGAAAACTGTTTTCGGTGAAAGACAGAACAATATAAGTAAATTTTAGGGGCCAAAAGTAAAATTTGTCATAATAGTTATGAACGAAACAGTGTGTCATAATGGTTATGAACGAACTTTAAATTTATGCATGCATAATATGCCCTAAGACCAGTTTGCGTTTAAAAATAGCTGTTCAATGGTCTTCCATTTATCACTTACTATAATTAGACCAGAGTGTTATTTTAGACAATTCTAGTCGATGAAACTTGATATAATTGATAGTATTTTGGTCACTTATTGTTCGTTCATAACTATTATGACACAAAAAAGTAGTTTTATTAAAAATTAATAAAGATTTTTATAAATTGTCAATTGTATGTATTTTTGGAAGTTATTTGCTATGTCTCAAAATATAACATCAGCCTAGCTGAAGAAAGGAACTTTGAGTATTCATAAATTTGTGTCATCATTGTTATGAACGAACTTTTGGCTATTTCCGTCATTCAAGTCAGAATTACACCAAGACCATTGCATATACAGCTTTGGCAGTTACTGAGCCTGAAAGAGCAATCATTAGGCTATACAATATGGGTGATTAAAGAGTTATTACATAAAGTTAATTTTGGACCTTATTTGTCACACCCTGGTATTCCACATTTTGGCAAATGCTCATATGCAAAGCAAAAAATTATATCTCATGGAAATATATTTGAAAGAGTTTTTCTTTGAATTCCCTGGATTCTACAAAACTTAAAGACTTAATTATAAAATTATTAATAAACTAGCCTAAACTTGTTCTGTAATTAAAAACATTGTGTGTGTCAAGACACGATGGAATCAGGCGCTCATCAATTCCTTTAAAAATGCCTTGCTTTTGATTTACAACAAAAATAAAAGTCAAGATATTTGCAATGTTTGGAGGAGGTGGGGGGGGTCTGATGTTAGAAAAGTAAAATACGCAAGAAATTACTGACCACCAACGTTAGTTAACTTTCAGACCTCACTTCAAGTGTCCTTGGAAACTGCAAATTTACAAAATCTCAATTCAATAAAAATTGCACCGTAAAGTGTTTGTTTCTTCAACTTCATTAGTTTGACCACGCATGATGCACCTGATTTATCGATGACGCCACAGGTCAACTTCACGGTCAAATCTGATGAAGTAAGGCAGGGGTCTATTGGTTGTGCACTGCCGCCACCATCAATCAGTTCCCGACCCAACCTCATCCCACCAATGTGCCTCCCACGATATAAAATAAAAGTTCATCAATGAGTGACAGGAACATCATAAAAGACGACATTTAAAATCATCAATTAGGCCTAGAGGAAAATTTGCTTACCCATCCAAATAGCCATCTCCATCTGCATCACAACTGTTGAACAAACGACGTAATCTTTCTTCCTCGCTTGCACTGGAACGGCTTGATGAATTTCTAGAATCGCCATTTTCGCTGCCACTTCCACTACTGCTCCCTCTCTCAGCCATCATGCTACTGCTACGTCACACTCATTGAATGAAAACAGCAAAACGTTCACAACAGAGATAAAATCTTGAGAAGTCTTGAAGATGTAGATCTAAAGCTAAAAAAGGGAAGAGGGGAAAATTTTCAAGTAGCAGACAACACTGACTGCTTGACTGAGCTCAGTCAGAACCCAGTGAACTGCTCATCTAGACTCTCAGATGAAACAAAAAGCCAAGATGGGTTTAGGCCTAGAATCTAGATTTAGTGAGCATTCTAAAAGTAGAATTCTTTTTTGCAAAATGTCATCTCAAACTCAATATTCTAACAGTGATGGAAATAAAACTTTTTACTCCACCCATCCACTTGAATTCAACAAGCGTCAGTGACTGGCACTCACTTTAACTTTAGACTTCGATTCTCTGTGGCTCTAGTTCTATATCTAGATATATATAGATCTAGATCTAGATCTAGATCTACATGTCTCTGGTAACTGACTGAATGGTCCGCAAGCTCTTTCTCCACAGCCAAGAAAATCACATTTAGATTCTAGCATTTCTGTAAAAAGTAAATCCGTGAAACTTGTTGGCAGCGTAAAGTGGTCGCCGCGTTTGCAAACAAACTTGGTAAACTAGCAGATCACGGCTCTGACTGATAGCGATGGAGTGGGTTCCCCTCTTTATTATCAGGGTCGATAGTCTGAAAGAAATAAAAATAGCCCAGGCGCTTTGATTGCCCATCCAAAGTTCAAATCGAAGCAGAATACGAACACGCACACAAAGTAAGAACTAGCCTTGCCGAAGTCTAGCCTAGGCTACGTGAAAACGTAGAAAGCGGATTCTCTAAATTAATAATTTAGATAACCTTGAAAGGACTGTCACAAAACGAACATTTATCTTAGGCCTACCCTCGCCTACCCTTTCTTCTTTCTTTTCAAATGTCAAATGTCAGATAGGCCCGCTAGATTCTTCTTCTTGGTCTTGGCATCTGGTCTCACATCGACAATCATCATCATGGTTCGCCTCTCATTTCTTTACATGAATACTTCATCGTTCTGGTCTTTTCCAGTCACCCATCTATTCAAGTTCTCTGGGCCTAAGTAAATTAATTTTTTTGGTCCATGCCAGCCTCTAACTTTTAATCTTCAAGCGAAGGCCATTGGGGGCTCCAGTGGCTGGATGAGCAGTGAGCTCCGACTCACGTACCGTCAAGCAAGTGTCGGTGACGGAAAGAAGGGGCTCAGATGGCTGGTCAGTGGCCACTGCGGTGCGTCCTTAGCAAGACAAGGCTACCCTAACTCAAAATACAGGGCTCTGCACAGTGGCGACCGACAATGGCATGGTTGTAAACTGTTCTGTACTGGTGTAATATAGGGTAGTCCCTATGTACATGTATTTGTGCGTGTATTTAATTTAAATTTAAGTCATGCATATTTATGTCATTTATTTTGATCTATGTTTCCCGTTGCAAACCAAATTGATCAATAAAAATGTACTTTATTCATTTATTTTTATTTTTAATTAGATCTAACCAATTTTAAAAGATAGGCTAGCCTTCCAAAAACTCGGTTTTAAAATCTAGATTGTATTTAGTCTATTGTTCTGATATGGTGCAATTTCCACTAAAACGACTACCTGGGCACTAATTATGCTCTCATTAAAGAAAAGAGTTACAACAGCGATGGGAAGTAACTCTCGCAATGAAGTCAAGCTATTCAGATTTCACAATGCAAAAGAGCGGTTGCGGTCGATGTTTTGGTGTTGACAAACAAGCTTGAACAGGGCAGGGGCGATTTGATAGAGAGGAATAATTCTGGATTTATGACAAGCTTCTGGCTTCAAAAGTCAGTCCTTTATCTGCGCCATGGATGTGTCATTAGGTCTAATCTCAAAGCTTGTGAAATGCAAGTCCGTTCAACGTGCAATGGCACCAATCGCATCCCAGGTTAGATGCAAAATTGAGTCTGAATTGAGACTGAATGACAAGTCATTTACTATTTACTACTTAGACTTAGTGTAAATCAATAAAATGAGATATTCTAGATCTAGATCTAGATTCTCTAGATTAGAGTCTAGATCTAGAATCAACTAGATCTAGATCTATTTTTATTTTTTATTTTACCTTTGTTTGGTTAACTCATAGATCTAGATCTAGATCTAGATCTAGATTTCTAGATCTAGAATCTAGATCTATAGACTATAGTATGATAGACACCTGCCCTTGGCGCGACCGTGCCCTGAGCGCGACCAGTTCCCCATTTTTCCTTCTGTGCAGCTCGTGTGCAATCTGTTTTATTAGAGTTACATGCCTTGTCTAGTTCCACTTTTGGTCAATCCTTTTCCAAGAATGTCAGTCATCTGCTAGTGCAGCAGTCGAGTTCGAAGTGAAAGGCTTATCAGAAACATTCTTAGAGAAGTTTTCTTCAGTTACTTAACTAGAGTAGCTGGCCCAACCCGCGACCACTTGTCTCTGTACCCTCTGTTATCAATAAGATAATTGTTTTCATCATGATTTGATAAAGAAATGATTTTACTAACCCTTAAATGGTGTACTAACAACTTTCTTGCACCTGTCATATCTGTGCGCGCATGGTCGCACCCTGTTCCGTTTGTGGTTGCGCTGAGGGCATGCGGTCGCGCCAAGGGCAGAGCATTAACATGTTAAAATGCAAAATCTGAGAATGACGTTTTGGAATGATTGACGATATCACAGTATAAACCGGAAGTTGACACACTGAAGCGGCCCTGAACATGGATTGCATGACCTATTTTGCTGACAGAGACCGCTGAGAAGCAGAATACGACAAGTGGTTGCGGGTTGGGCCAGGTACTCTATATCTAGATAGGCAGTCGTTATTCGGACTCGAGTCCGAATAACATTTTTTCATATTCGGACTCGAGTCCGAATAAAAAAAATTCTTATTCGGACTCGAATTCGAATATGAAAAAATGTTATTCGGACTCGGGTCCGGAAAAAAGGAAGTGTCTTCGTTCTATAGATCTAACGTTTCCCACTTTCTTTGTTGTTGAAAAAGGTAAAATTGAAGATTAGCAGACCACCTGGCACCTGCATATTATGAGCTGTGTAAAAAAAAAGACCGATTCGTTCAAATACACAAGCCTGTGTCATATCGATTGTTTACCAAGAAAAAGTTGTGTTGCTGTGTAGAGCTGAGCATACGGCAACTTTTGATTCCATAGACCAGCGCACAATTCATTACGTAGATCTACGTCAAGACTAGCTTATTATTGTAATAATGATCAGTTGCCGGGGGGAAAAAGACTGACGCGTATGCGACGTTCAAAGCCCGGACCGATAGTGCCCCCCCCCCCACCACCCTCCCCAACACGCACACAGCCACACGTGTACAGGCCGCCCAACCGACCCCGACACACGTGAGCCATTTTTAATTGCTTCTGATGACCTCTTGACAAATAAACATTTATTAGAAGCGCTATTATAACTGTTCAGGCCGGCCTCAAATTCATCATAAGATTAAAACTCGGCTCCTGCACAAAACGCCTTTTTGCCCGAAGTGATCCCGGTCTCTACCCAGCCTGAGACGAGTCACGAGTGAGGCAGGACAGGAAGCCGGATTCACGAGTCACAGGAAGTCGGAAGTGATGTCATGCTGGACAAGAATCAGAGTCCGAATAACATTTTTTCATATTCGGACTCGAGTCCGAATAATCACTTCGATCTAGATTAGATACAGAATGAGAAGCGAAGCAGGTTAGGTTTACAATTGTTTAACGAAGTGGCTAGCCGTACTTAAGTACTTAGATCTAGGTTTGCTATGGAATTAAGTACTTAGATCTAGGTTTGGTCCAATCGATTCACCACTTTAACTTGGCCAAAGTCTCATTAGATCTAGATCTAGTAATTATTCAGGTTCAAATACATGCAAGTCAGTAAGGCACCTTTTGGTTTTGTCTGAAATACAAATACTTTAGGCATTGCAAACTAAAAATTTCATTTACAATTCAGCCATCAATATTAAGTACGGCTAGCCTGACAGTCTAGCCGTACTTATCTTAGGCCCTATTAACATTAGAAAACAGGAGGTTTAAAATACACGCACTGTCATTAAGGCAATTTAAGGCACATGGTTTTGTCTCAAATACAAATACTTTAGGTACTGCACACTAAAAATGTATATTTACAATTCAGTAGGCCTATTTTTTGTAAATGGTCAGTCTAGCCATCATATTAAGAATAAGTACGGCTAGACTGTGATAAAGTATTTGTATTTCAGACAAAACCAAAAGGTGCTTTACTGACTTGCATGTATTTGAACCTGAATAATTACTAGATCTAGATCTAATGAGACCTGTGTACTTAACAGGCTTGAGTCGATAGGGCCAAACCTAGATCTAAATGCAGCTAGACTGGCAGTCTAGCCGTACTTAAGTACGGCTAAACTCTCAGTCTAGCCGTACTTAAATTAGTTAGTCAAGGGTTGCTATGGAATTGAAACTTGGACAATTTTTTTTTTAAAACCTACACCACTTTAACTTGGCCAAAGTAGCAACCCCAATTAAACCGAGACACATTGAAAGTTTATTTCTTGAACTTCTGCAGTCATATTTTGATTCACTATAGCAGTAACACTATTTTTACACTTGATAAAATAAAATAGATGGCTTTTAAAAAAATATCCGTACATACGTTAAAATCCTATTATGATGACACTGTCCAAAAAGTCCACCAGTTAAAGACAACCACTTTCCTCCTCGACAATGGATGGCCATCTAGGATATAATTTCAACTGTAATTTTTTTCAGGTGTCGTTGTTGATCATTTTAACGGAACAAAATGCGGCTGTGGATGATGAAGGTTTGCCTTCTCAAGTGGAGACTTCAAGTCAAGACAGTCGCAGTGTGTCGCTGTGTGCCTCCAACATGGCTACGTCCATTGAGCACTTCATCGCTTTGGGGGAGAGAGAGACAAACACATCTACAGATGAAGTAATTTTTGCCTTTTAAAGTTATCATTTCCAGTTGACACAAAAGCATCTGTTTTCTTGATTTTTATAATAATATATTCACTTCATTGTTTTCTTATCATCATCATTCTTATCATTATAATTGTTATTATTACTACAGCAGTATAGTTGTTATTTTATTATTATTATTATTATTATTATCATAATTTTTTATTTTCATTATCATTATTCCTTACTCATTATTAGTTATTATTTTCTTTATGATAAAATATGCTATTATTATAATTGTATAAGTTTGGCTATGATAAGTGATACGTAACAGTTATTGTAATGTCTTTTGCCTTGCATGCAGAAGACAAGATTTCGATTCCTGTATCGGGATGTTTTTTATTGAATATCGCAGTCTTTCTTGTGGGAACTTGCATAGAGATCCCTCTCTGCCTGGCTTGACCCTGACAGGCAAAGTCAAATGGTCTAAATCGTGAAGATGGGAATGTAAAATATCTACCTTTACAATAACAACATTTTATGATGATATAATTCACTATCATTATCATTTTAAAATTACTATTATCATAATTTTTATTACAATTATTTGACTTCTTGTTATTGATTGATTTTATGATTAGTATTCTTCGTATTATTAGCATTATAATAATTATTGTATAATAATAATAATAATAATAATAATTATCATTATTAATATTATTATTTTAAGATTCTGGTTATCATGTTTATCATTATTATTAATTATCATTACTCTATTTTCATTCTTCTTCCTCCTCCTCCTCCTCCTTCCTTCATCTCCTCTTCCCCCCTGATGGTCATTGTTCGTCTGTCTGTGCAGGTCTTCCAAGAGCAGATGCGATCAGCGTGTGAGACGCTGGAACTGGCCAAGACTGACCTCTTTGTGTGGTCGCAGCGGTACCAGTCTGACCCCACCGTGACCTCTGGCACACGGAGGTCACTGTGCCAGGCCGCCAAGGATGTGTTACAGGCAGTGCTTAAGGTGAGCGCTCTGTTGTGTGTGCAGATGGCTTGGTGAGCGCTCTGTTGTGTGTGTGGGTGGCTTGGTGAGCGCTCTGTTGTGTATATGGGTGGCTTGGTGAGCGCTCTGTTGTGAGTGTGGGTGGCTTGGTGAACACTCTGTTGTGTGTGTGGGTGGCTTGGTGAGTGCTCTGTTGTGTGTGTGGGTGGCTTGGTGAACACTCTGTTGTGTGTGTGGGTGGCTTGGTGCGCGCTCTGTTGTGTGTGTGGATGGCTTGGTGAGCGCTCTGTTGTGTGTGTGGGTAGCTTGCAAGCCTAGTAGTAAAGTAATGCTTGCAAATTTGGTACCCATATTTGTGCATTTTTTATTTCCTAATACAAATCCACACCATTCTTGTGGCTAATTCTCCGTTCAGAAGAATTAGAGTCAGGAGATTAGCGTGAAATACATAAGCAAACGTGAGCGGCAAATTTTGCCAACTTCCGTGATGTCCATTGTTCAGCTCAAAGCTACAAATTATTGATTTTTGTGATGTGCCTTGTACACCATACAGTAACGAAGGCGCTTACCAATATATATTATTTATAGAAATGTTTCACATTTTAAATATCGTTGATTTCTCATACTCCAAGTGTAGGAAATATTATTTAGAACACGGAAAGGTTGTTTTTTTGTTAAGACGTAAAATGTGTAATAAATATATATATGAGGGATCGTGATGAAATCAGGGGTTGATGAAAATAGTGAAGTTGAAGAAACCAGCATTTTTTTTGCCGGTTTGGCAATTTTTATCGAATTTTTTGTTTTGGTCTCAAAACGCTTAACGCCCATTTCAAAACAAATTTCTGTGTAGCTTTTATTGAAAACTGTTGATTAAAGGCACAACAAATGTAACTTTTCAATGACTCTCAAGCTATGGCAGTCACCAAACTTTGGCGGCCATTGTCTCAGTAATTTTACGTAACCTCTGAAACCACACGACCTCCACCTTCTTCACATGCCAATATCTCGACTTCTATTCAAGATAGATGGGCATTATTTTCTTGAAAAGCAAGCCAAACAAACAAGCATTATGATGATGCCAATAAATTCACAAGCCAAACAAACAAGCATTATGATGATGCCAATAAATTCACAAGCCAAACAAACAAGCATTATGATGATGCCAATAAATTCACAAGCCAAACAAACAAGCATTATGATGATGCCAATAAATTCACAAGCCAAACAAAGAAGCATTATGATGATGCCAATAAATTCACAAGCCAAACAAACAAGCATTATGATGATGCCAATAAATTCACAAGCCAAACAAACAAGCATTATGATGATGCCAATAAATTCACAAGCCAAACAAACAAGCGTTATGATGATACCAATAAATTCACAAGCCAAACAAAGAAGCATTATGATGATGCCAATAAATTTACAAGCCAAACAAACAAGCATTATGATGATGCCAATAAATTTACAAGCCAAACAAACAAGCATTATGATGATGCCAATAAATTCACAAGCCAAACAAACAAGCATTATGATGATGCCAATAAATTCACAAGCCAAACAAACAAGCGTTATGATGATACCAATAAATTCACCTGCCCAAAAATTGCCGAGCGCCTGATTCCACGGTGTCACGACACATATGTCACGCCGCGGTGGAACCAGGCCCTCATCAATTTTTGGGCATGTGGAGTTATTGGTATCATATGAAAGCTGATTCAGTCGTCTTGCTTTCAATGAAAAAAATACCCATGCATCTTCCGAAGAAGTCAAGATATTTGCGATTGAAGGAGAAGGAGATGGGGGTCGCTTGGTTCAGTGGCAAAATTAGCTAGAAAATGGCAGCCAAATTTGGATAATTACAATAGCTTGAGAGTCCCTGAAAACGAAAAGATTACAAATTTTGTGCCTTTAATCAACGTTTTTCTGTAGGACTCACCTGGAAGTATATGTTTCTACGGACACGAAGGGTGTTGAGCAACAAAACAAAACAAATGTGATCAATATTGCCAAACTAGCGGGAAAATGCCAGTTTCTTCAATTTGATAATTTGGAGGAGCACGTCATTCCACCACGATGCCTCACAAACCATTGTATCTACTTTAGCAATGTTTCCCTCTCACAGACAGCTTCTGGAACCTTAGCGTCGATGACATATTCCAGGAAAAACTGAATTTTTTTTTTTACCGTTCCATGTTCTCAGGTCCTTCTTGTGCTAGATGACAGAGAAATTCGCCAGATGGTTGCCATGGTAACTCAGACAGAGGTTGCCGTGGCCGCGGTGGGGAGGGTGAAGGAGTCGAACCAGCTGCTCCCGTCTTTCAAGGTCGGAAGATTTTTTTGGGTCTGTCTGTCTGTCTGTCACCGGTGGTAGGCCTGGTTTCTGTCCGTGGGTGGTTGGCGGGTGCTCTGGTGTGGTTTGTTTCTTCTTTCCTGTCAAACGTCTATCATCTTTATCTCCCGTCCTTCTTTGTTGAGTTTGTTACTCTCTTGTAGCACCTCTAGTCTCCAGCACTTCTATGACCCTATGGTGTTGCAAGTGCCGTAAAACACTTACAAAAGCTAAAAAAAAACCCCTGATTTCTGTCCTTTCCCTCTGTTGTTTAATTCTGTCTGTGTGTCTGTCTGTCTGTCTGTCTCTCTGTCTGTGTGTCTGTCTGTCTGTCTCACATTTCACCCCAATGCTGAGAAAGTGATTGTTGTATTGATGTACACTCCTTTTCACGCAAACAGACGAACGCACGCAAACAAATGAACGAACAAATGTGAACAAACAAAGGAAACCTGTCTGTATGTTTATCAGTCTGTGTACCTCTTTTCTGTGTTTGTCTGCCTGAGTTATCCTCTCTCCTTTTCTGTATTCTTCTATCCGTTCCTCCCCTCCCACACCCCATCCCCTCCCCCTCTTTCACCCTTCCCCC